ATGCTTGTGATTTATTTATGGCTCTGTGATCCTGTACTAAACCCTCGGATGCAAACTGTGAATATTGTCTCCTAGACGTTGCAAGTTGCTTGCATTTTTGAAAATAACTGTTATAACTTCCCTCCTTTTCCCTTCTCACATCGCTGTCATCGGGGTTGTCATCTTGATTATGTATTTCTTCTACTTGGTTTTGTTCCGATTATTTTTGTTTTAGTTCCTTGATATGCAGCCAGGCTGGCTTTTGAGAAATGAACGATATATCTATATCTATATATGCATATATTTTCTGGATGTTACTTGGTTGTTCTCCTTCCTCCTCTTCTCTTTTGGGATTATGTCATATTTGAGTCATGTTTTTCCACCAAAGTATGGCATAACTTTCTTTCTCAAAGCCTGATCAACAAAGATTGGTTTTCCCTTTCTCAGGTCTCCTGGTGGCTTTAAATTCTGCTGAGGGATGCTAGTAAGTAAATATCCTTTGAACCTCATGGTTGTATTTTGTGCAAAGAATTAAAAATAAAAACTAGAGGGACATAATTTGCTTCTGGAAATCATTTGTCCTCTATCGGTAAGATTTAGAGCTTATTTAGGAGACCGAGAATAATTTTCTCCTTATTACCTTTGAGCTCATCCTACCAATTCCTGCCAGGAGGGATAAGCTGAGAAAGAGAGCGTCTGCACCCTGAATCCTGCAATTAACCCACTTAGTTTTAAGATGAGGTTCCCAACATAGCTCAGATCTGCTATATGTCTTTTGGGGTTGCCCCAAAGGTGCTTTTTGGAAAGGCAACTGGATTTTCTGTTTTTTTCCGAGAAGACGTTTTGCTTCTCATCCAAGAAGCTTCTTCAATTCTGAACTGAAGAATGAAGAAGCTTCTTAGGCGAGAAGCAAAATATCTTCCAGGAGGGAAAAAAAAACAGTTGCCTTTTGAAAAAAGCACCTTTGGGGCAACCATGAGTCATCCTGGATGATTGAGACTCTCCATAGACCAAATCCTCATTCCTTCCAGCTTGCTTTTGTTCTCCATCTTCCTTGGGTGAGTTTAGAGAAGGCCTCTTTCCCCACCCACTAAACTTTATTTTATTAGGTTTTGGTTTCATGGTTGGTTGATTGACCCAAGAAGAACTTCAAGTCTTCAGATCTTATTCTGCCTTAGAAGGTGGGGATCCATCTCTGCATCTATCTCTCACTCACTCTAGCTACCACGCTGTCTTCTATCAACTCTTTTTCATTCACTTTATCCTATGTCTATCTATCATCTATCCTTTCTCTCTCCATCCTTCTACCTGTCATCTGTCTACTTCTATCATCCCACGATATTGTCATGAAAGTCAGTATATATATATATATATATATATATATTCTTTCTCTCTCCATCTATTCTGTCATCTGCCTGCCTGTCTACCTCCATCACCCATTTGTCTGTTTGTCTATCTATATATATCTTGCCCCCTTCATCTTAACTGCCCAGTGCAGGGAAGAAGGAGAAAAATATCTATTATTGCGTATAGTTTTGAAACTAGCGCTCCCTTGCTCTTAATATTCCATCTTCTTAGGATGAAAGTGTTTTTCCACCAGGAGAATTTTGCACTGCAAATTCTTCAGACTCTCCCTTTCTCAGTTTCGCCTTGCATAAATCTCTTTTTATGTACCACGGTGATTCTAGAGAACGTCTTTCTTTTCTTGTTTGCTTTAGTAATTTTATTTTTTTGTTCCTATAATTTAATTGTTATTTATATTCCAATGATTTATGATTGAAAGGGAAGGGAGCGGGGAAAACGCCACGTTCAATACAGAAAGGGTGAGGGTTAGGGTTAGGGTTAGGGTCAGGGTCAGGGTCAGGGTCAGGGTCAGGGTCAGGGCCAGGGGCCAGGGGCCAGGGGTCAGGGCCCAGGGGTCAGGGGTATAGGGTTTAGGGTTTAGGGTTTAGGGTTAGGGTTAGGGTTAGGGTTTAGGGTTTAGGGTTTAGGGTTAGGGTTAGGGTTAGGGTTAGGGTTAGGGTTTGCCTTAAGGTTAGGGTTAGGGTAAAGGCTTGGTTTAGGGTTAGGGGTAGGGTTTGGGTTAGGGTTAGGGTTAGGGTTAGGGTTTGGGTTTGGGTTAGGGTTAGGGATAGGGTTTTGGTTAGGGTTAGGGTTAGGTTAAGGGTTTGGGTTAGGGTTAGGGATAGGGATAGGGTTAGGGTTAAAAATTAGGGTTAGGGTTAGGGTTAGGGTTTGGGTTAGGGATAGGGTTA